TTGAGATTAGGGTGGAGAAAATAACATATAAACTATAAGAATTTAGCAAAGAAAAACGTTTGAAATGCATTTAAGAGGTTTTTAGGGATTACAAAAAGGAAATTTGAGATTTTTGAAATGGTAAAAATTATTTTTAATTTAACATGAAAATTACTTTGCACATGGACTATTCAAAACAAATACTCAATATATTCACGGACAAAACTTTATTTTACTTTATCAAAAGTACTTCACTAAGAAATACGACTTTTTGTATGTGAAAGACTTGTAATATTAACTGAAAGACTGCCAAATTTTGTAAAGATATACCCAATATATATATATATATAGGGTTATAAGTATCAAATTTATGTCAACTTCAAAATAAAAGAGTACAGAAGGTCACGTGAACCGGTACCACGGACCGAGCCCGTGTTGAAAAAGTTAAGTAGAAAAGGAAGCACAGGTTTTCAGTAGGGAGGAAGGCTGGGACGTGTGAGAAATATGTTTTTAGTGTAGGAAAATAACAACTTCTGATACGGTGCATTACCTCCGCTCACAACATGAATAGCTAGAATCCCAAATTGGATAAGTGGAGGGACCATAAGGGATAGAAATAAGTATCCTTCAAATACATTCAGAGAACACCCATGAAGTTTGATCCCCATTGGCAGAGGAACATATGTGGGAGACCGCACCACTTCTGTACCAGGTATACTCTGCACCCAAGGTGGAAATAGGTGTCGTATACACGGGCGGAACGTGGGAGGAGCACAAAAGGGAGAGAAAACCCAGAATCTCAATCCTGGTGAAGAAAAACTGTAGAAGACCCATCTTCTGACAGGAATGTGGTGAAAAGCTAAAATGGATATGCTCCAAGGTGTAGTTTATCTAGGGTGTGATGGACCATACGTGACTGTTCAACTCCAGTCCAAAAACAAGCAATATCAGGATTATAACTTCCAACCTGTGGCAGGAGGAGGGTCCACACTGTCTTCATCTCAAGTTGAGTAGAATGGAATATATGCTTTCCAAACCAATCTACTAAACAGGGCACATATGTGCATATCAACAACCATCTACATATCTGAGAACCCAACATGTGAATGACAATATGAAGGTATGTTCCAATGTGGAAGGCTACATCAAACCACACTCAATCAGACAGTGACCCCCCACTGTGTAACATCAGCCTCAGGTAGTGAAAACTCTCAGCGGTGTTCACCCCAAACAATATAATTTTCCAGATATGACCGCACAGAACCCGAAGCATATGTGCACACATTAACAATCTCTGGAACCCACTGCATGGGGGTGGAAAGGATGAGGCAAAACTATGAAATTGAGTTAGGATGAGGATACACAACCAACACATGTGTGAGGATTTATACTGATAGAAGCACACAGAAGCTGAGTGCAACATCAACCTCTGAGACCCACCACAACGGAGGTGGAGCCCACGACTAGAGGATCAAACACCATCTACACCGGCAGCACACAACTGCCCTAATCTCTACTGACTAGAAGTGATCACATTCACGAGGACTACTCCATGGTCCACCTTCCCAACAGCTCAGAACTGGAAAATGGCAAGGACTGTCATACTCCACTAGAAGAACAAGGGGATATAAAACATTGGAGGAATGCCAACACCAGACACAATGCAACAGGTGACCACAAAAACCCTTGTTGTAAATGCAAAAGCCTTGATCGCCTGATAAACTACATACAGTGCTGAATCAAACCTGAGAGGCTAGACATGAAACTGATATACAACATCATAGTGGACAAACCAAAGATAGCATCTGAACTGATGAAAAATAGGAATATGGAGATAGGCAATCAAGATGACTACTGTGGTCATCCACAATTCTGGAGAAGAAAACCCACCTGAGTGTGATAAAGGACTCCATGGTAAATCGGGGAAGATCTAGAAATTGGTTGAGGCAGAACAGATGGATCACAGGATGCCAGTCCCCCGATTTGAATTGGGGACAACAAAAAGCCTGGAGTAAAAACCTGGAGAATGCTGATTGACAGGTTCAATAGATCTCTGTGATAGAAGAGTCTGCACAGCCTTGGACTCATAGCAAGTTTCTGAGTTAATTGGAAGGAAATTGGAACAGGAGACAAAGTGGTGGGGAGGGAAATGAATGAAAAGTCCTTCTGACAGAACTGGTATCACCCAAGAATCGGTAGTGAATACCAACACGGGAACAAAATCAGTCAAACATGCCCCCACTGGACAGAAAAAGATTTGATAGTCACAGGAACTGGCAACGATGAACCTGATGTTGAGACACACTTTGAAATTTTGAACCCTTAGTGGTAGGAACTGGTAAAGCACAAGACCTCTCCCACAAGAAACAATTGTGGGAGAGGTCATGAGACAAGCAAACAATCAAAGACTAAAGGATCGATTGTGGTCTCTCAGATTCCACAGGTGATTCCAATGATTTGAGAAAATCTCCAAACAGACCAATGGAGAAAAGGAGCCACCTATAATTCATGAAGATTAGAGGAAGGTAGAAGAACCTGTGACAAGACAGCATCCTTCCCAGTAAGATCCCAACAGCAACAAAACTACATGTAAAGGAATAGGGCTAAAGACGACAATCATGCCAAAAAGTCTGTAAGGAAGGAAAAGGGTATTCCCAGAAAACCCCTCAGGGGATCCATGGAGTGCCTCAGATATGAGGTATATGTTGGCCAAGTACTGTAAAAGAGCTGAAAGGGTAGGACAAAAGTGGGAAACTAGGCGTGGGAGAAATGGATAGGATTTTCAGGGACAGCCCCGACACTGGCAAAAGTAAATCCAACTGCTGAGAGTTGAGAAAGGGTTGATCAGTCTGCTGATAAGCCAAAGCATAATGATCATAAGCACATGAAGGGTGAGGCATGCTAACACCAGCCCTCAACTGAGAAACAAATAGCACAGCATAAACCCTGATATCTGGGAAAGGAAGGAAAACAAAGTAGTCTTAAGTAAAAATGGATATCATGTAACAAAGAAAGAATGATATCATATGAAACTGATGAAAACGAGAAAAATTAACTCACTTGAAAAAGCATATCCAAAAACGTAGAGTTAGGCCTAGTAGGTTCAGTAGGAGAGGCATGGGAAGACACAGCATAGTTAGAAAGAGGAAAAAGGCTGTCAAAGTCCTCCTCATGATAAAAAGGTTTATACGATGCAGGAGGAACCTGAACCTCTTCGAGAGAAGAAGGACGGCTCGTATAACAATCAATCTCCCGATAAATGATAGCCGAAAATTCCTCAATCGAGACCCCAGGCCTTAAGCCTGTACAATGACACTCAAAGTAGTGATAAAAATATCAGAAGGTGTAAAACACAAACCTTGGAATTCATCTTACGATGTGAAGAAGTCAGAATCAGTAAAAAAATACAGTAAACAAAAGTAAGTTATTGTGACAAACTACTACAGAAAACTAACTATAGTAAATGAAAAAATCAAGTAAATCACTTCTTCGCAAAAAAACCCAACTAAATGAACATGTGAAAAGAGCACAATTGAAAAAAGTCTGCACTCAATCACTGCTTAACAAGAAATGATAGTTCAGTAGAATCAAATAGAGGGAGTCACATGCATCTGGATGATGTGTCACACTCCTATTGGTGGACGGTTGTCACATGACAATTTACATGCAATACGCACTGATTGTGGTGCACTGAACAAGAACAGCTATACATGTAAGCTGAGATAATGTACCGTATCAGAATATATTTTTAATGTAACTCTGTAAAATTGTTGTGACATGCAAACTTTGACCCCTGTTGTGCACACAGTACTAAGGAATAAATGCAATAACTTATAATAAATGGTCTGCAAAATCTTTTGATATAAAACAACCATTAAATACAGCAGTACAAAAAAGCAACATTATTAATATTCTTATAATCAGATGTGTGAAAGAGCCAATACCTGTATCTTGTTTCATAACAGCACTTGCATAGCTACAACCATAACTGAAATCACTAGAACCTGAACTGTATGGCAGTGCAGCTGAAGGAACATGAGTACTTCCAGCATCCCCCGATGCTGAGAGAGAGAAATCTGACCCCATTTGGATGTCACGATCCTTGACAAGAGGAGTATCTTCACTGACCTGAAAATTTTAATAAATGTAACAAATAATAATTACATATTTATAATTCAAATGCTCAAATTAACCTTTATTTTGTTTAAATACATAAATAATCACATTATTGTGCAAAAAATTACTATATCAATTAGATGACCACTACCACCTGATGAAAAACATTACAATAACTATGCTTCAAGGATTATGCAACATATAACATTTTATAAAATTCCAGGAACCTTGTAATTTATGAAAACTGAGCTTAATACAAATTAATTTGTTTTCACTAAATAACATTAAGAAAGTCAGAATAATAACCCTTTTACTGAATTATTACCATCTAAAATTATATAAATTTATTACAAAAGATAATTCAAGTAATTTTATTACAATAGAATTATGATACTTGTAATTCCATAATTAGTGGTTAAAATTAGTTAACTTTAAAATAAATACACCTTCTGACATGACTGTGGAGTAAGAAAACACAGTAGTGTGATAATATTTGGAGGGGGGGAATCCCTCTCTTCACATAATTTTGTGAGGAGTATTCAGATATTGTAACATATGCAGTGTTCATACTGACTTGAAATTCTTTTTTCATTTTCGACTTATAAGCAGAGTGGTCCAAACATCAGTTATCCTCGTAATTAAATCTCTTGTGTGTGCATACAATTAACTTGCAGCATCAAAACACATAGGTCCAAGCCATACAGAAATTAAAATTATACATTGCTCTTGGGCAACTAACTTTTGGTCCATATTGTCTTTCACAAAAATGGAAGAATTTTAAGTAATGAAAAATTCAAACAAGTTTACTGGCTAACAGATAGCAAAATTATACTGAAAAAGTCTGTTCAGATTTTTAAACTCTACTCACATTATAAAGAACAGTTAGTACTTTACAATGTATCAACTTCTCCAAGTCTATATGTAATCAATTAAAAGTTAAATGTTAAGTTAGGATACAAAGGTTATGATATTACACCTGTTGCCTTGTTCTTTAAACTATCTTGATTGTAGTTTACATAATATTACAACAACATTCATTAACTAATCTGTCATTTTCCATGCTTAATCCAACAATTTAAATTATGGTCTGTAACTTTTACCTACAACCTAATTTTTCTTGTGCTTTGCAAATATTTTACTCAGACTTACAGATAACATAACAATAATGTTTTGGAAATGAAAATTCACAACTTTTGTGACCATTATCAATAAACATTTGAAATGAAAATTGGAAAAATGGTATGCTTGCAGAATAGCAGTATTTCTTGCTTGATAATAACTGACATACAGATCTTAAAAAATTACAGAAACAAAATAGGCAGCTTAAAGTGAAAATGTAATCACAAATAAAGTAAACAAACAAGCTTAAGGTTTGGGACATAGTGTTAACATTATTTCCTCAAGCTACAAATCCCTATTTTGACTTCCTAAATATTACAGCTTTTACTTTGTTTGTTTACTTTTTTGCAGTTGCATTTCACTTTAAGCTACCTATCTTGTTTCTGTATTTTTTTGAAGATCCCCCCCCCCCTTTTAAATTAATAATTCTTAATAATCTTGTTTCTTTAGTTGTTTTTTTTATGTCCAGTAAAATAATAGCAATACTGTCCAATTTGAAACAGTTTAGTTTAACGAAATACACTGTTGATGTTTGATTATCTTTCTGGAAATAATGACAACCATTGGATTGGCTTTGTGCATATTGGATGGCTATGGCTACTGACAGCATTGCCACAATGTTATCATTGATAATGGTACTACATATACGATCATTATGATGCAAGGTGATTAACATACCACAGGTTATGTACCTGCTTGTAATATATATATAGCTACTACATTTATACCCTGTACAATTATGAATTAATATACCCCACCACCACTACCACCATTTCTGGAGTTTGGGTCATCACACTTCTATACTTCTGTGTAATATCATCTGCAAGGAGAAATACATGTACAAAAACTTACTCTATACCTTTTGTAATATTTGTACTTTTGATATACCTACAGTATATAAAGGTTTTGAGATGGCTTGACCGGGTAATGAAAAAGCTTTATTTTATTAAAAATGTACGATGTTCCAACAAGATTTTGTCATTCTCAGGTTCAAGTAGCTTATAGAGATACATATATATACAGTATAGAACAAAGAGGTCACATAACCAGATATTGCTTCATTGATATAAGGTGGGGCTATTTTCTTCATTTAAGATAGCTTCTTTTATTTTGCATTTATTGATGTTAAGTTCTTTGTTTAAAATTAGTGTTTTGTATGGATATACCGTGGTTTTTTGAATTACAATGGTGGTAAACATGGGAGGGTTTTTATTATGTTCAGTGAATCTGGTTCTCAATTTTCTATGTGTTTCTCTGATGTAAAATTCTGGACAGTTATTGCAAGTTATAATACCTATAATAAGGCTACAAGATCTCTAAGGTCGTACTTGAAGTATTACTTCACCTGTTACACACAATCATTTTTATCCATTTTACTATTTACATTACAAAGTAAAAGTATTTCTGGAAAAATATCAAAATAGCACTCTGTTTACCCATATTTTTCTAAAAATGTACAATGTGAATAAAATAATAACTTATGGTAGTATTATTGGGAATTAGAATAACTCAGACTATGTAAATAATGTTCCTTTAAAGTAAATTTAAAATGTATCTTTAAACAGAATAACATTCTTATTACTAAAAAAGAAAGAAATATACAAATAATACCTCAACTTTTTGTGGAGGCTCCCCATTTCTGTTTCCTATTATCAATATATTTCTTGCATTGTTAATACATCGAAAGCCAACTTCCTCTAAAGTTTGATCTTTGAGATCATTGATAATCACCTAAATAAACAATAAAACCATTTTTTAAACTATAGTGTATATTTTATTTTCAATTATGTATTTACATACTTGTAAAAAAAAAAAAGAAAGAACAATGAAGGGGTTTATATTCAAAGAAAAAATATACTTATTTCAAAATCTTTCATAAGAAACAAAAGGCTTACATAGTAACTCTCAAACTTGTAATCTTTACACTACACAAGTAGTGGCTGTTCAAAGCTGTTGGTCTACATTTATATTGGTACTAAGTACTTCAAAATAATTAAAAGCAAAAATACTATATAAAGGAAATTATCTGTATTCAGCATGAAAATTGAATTCATTTCTCATATTAATCTGTCTTCTTTCAATATTTGCATTAAAAAGTGACATAATTAATAAATAGCATAATAATTATGCTAAGAAGCATTAGTTTCCTACCACAGTGTGTTTCATATCCACTAAAATTCTGCAAAAACAGATCCTGCCAAATTCTTACTTTTTGTTTTATAAACAGTCTTCAAACCATTAAATTCTTAGTAGAAAGAAAACAATTAGATGTAATAATACATATCAAGGTCTGAGCTAGCTTTTGTTTCTATGACTAAGGTCAGGCTTCTTTGAAAAAATAAAGGAAAGACTGGCTTACTCAATTTTCTAAAATACTGAATAAAAAAGAAAAATCCTACTCTATGAATTTGAAACTAGGACAGTTCCAGTCATCGTGCAAAAAAATTTATTTATTTATTTATTATTATTATTATTATATATATATTTTTTTTTAATTCTAAAATTGCTGGTGCCTATACGTAATTCTATACATCTACTATTACCATATTAAATGTGCAAAGACCACAAAAGTACCAATATGTCATTAGTTTTTGAAATAATCAAAAAATGGCATCTGCAGCTTATTGGGGCTCATTGTTAATCTGGTAGCAGCATGGACCACATGAGTGCAGTCAAGGCAGCCTTGGGGAAACTTCCACTTCAATGGAAGTGATATCAAGGAAGATCATCTTAATCTTGATATTCCATCTGGGTGGTATGTGGAAATGGTTACAGCTAAATGGCAGTAGCTAATCAGACACTGCCATCTAATCAATACAGCTACACAAAGGGTGGTTCACTAATGAAAGAGGTTAATTTCTCATAAAACATGCTTCACCTCAAAAAACACCGTATCTGTTAATACTCATCTTAAATTCTGATTTGATGTTAATATCTAAATTCAATCATATGAGTGTGTGTTTTTCATAGCAAACCAAATCGAGCTATCTGCTGTGTCCACCAAGGGGAATTGAACCCCTGATTTTAGTATTATAAATCCATAGACTTAACGCTGTCCAACTAGGGGGCTGTAATTATTAGTCTTAAAAACAAAATTTATAATAATTTACAAAAAAAATGTGATAAGAAGTTATTATTAATTTCTGCAGTTCCAATTTTTTTATGAACAAAAACAGGGTAGACAGACAAAAAAATAAATATACTCCAGTACTGCATTTACTTAGCACATTGCATATAAAAGGTAAAAAGATACAACTAACAAAATCCAGCAAGTATTTTTATCTATTCCAAAACTATTTTTAAAGATCACTGCAGACTTATGAAAATGGTAAATTGCAGCACGTGGTTGACTAGCTTTGTAAATTAGGCCATTTTACTCTGTGGCCAAGAATACAGCTTTTATTTTAGTTCCATTAACTTTGTATTCAACATAATTCATGACTACAATTTACAAATGTAAATTTTTCCTAAGTGATGTGATTCAGTATGCAGGCTTACTTCTAATTTTGTTAATATACTGCAGAAGAAAAAAAAAACATTTATAAACATCAAAGATTGAGAGTTCCCTTGAATGTAATACAAAAATGGTAACAAGTACTGCAATGTTTGCACATCAACAAATATACAAGGTTACTGAGGCACTAGACTGCTATGCATACAGTAATTTCTTCATTAAATGAGTTCCTACATGCATTATGCTATGAATACTTTCACATACATTCAACATATTTACTATTAAAATTACCAAAACAGAAATAAATTGAAAATCTTAAGTCTGACAGAATAATATTTCAAGCAATTACAAATGTTATTAGACTAAGGGTGGGATTTACTTAGTTGCCATAGAAATAAAATTGAATGACAGAACGAGTATATTTCGATTTTTGTACTTTGAATAATACCATTGTTCTAATGTTAAACTTTAGAAAAAACTAAGGGATACTATATTCTTAGCTCTTTTTTCTTATCAAATTGAGCCACTTAAATGAAAGAATATAGTGGAAATTCATAAGCTCATAATATACATTTCTAACATTCTAGTTTTAAACTATGCATTTTGCAACTCCATGTTTTGGTTCAGTGAAATAACTGAATAAAGACATAATGTAACCACATGTATATTCTGATGTTTTTCTTTTGTTATTATATTAAAACAACATTTAGCAACCATTTTAAACCAGGTGAGCTACTGTAAATTAGTTACTACATAATGATTTTACCAAAACACAAGCTATAAAATGTCCAGGTTCCCAAACTCCCACAGGCATGTACACAGCTAAGTTCTATACAAGTTGTGATAATTATACCTCCTTTTAAATTAAATATGAAATGATAAAAAAAAGAATCATTGCCTGAATGCTTTGTTTTTACTTGAGGTTTTCTGAATATTCACAATCTCATCTGGTTTAGCAAATGGAAACAAAATGCTCCTTGAGGTCAATAGCTAAACACTAGAATTCACTGGCTTTTCATAAGTTAAATTCCATTAAGTTGAAAACCCAGTTAAATCCAGCATAGACATCTATCTTTTAATTGTAATATAATAAAATATTTTGCTAAATTTAGGAGTGAATTTTCAATCACTGTTATTGTCTTTCTTTTTGCCAATTACAAAACATTTTTTTAAGCTGTACTTTATGCACTTGAGATTTAATTTTTTTTAAAACATTAAAAACAGTAGAACCTTATCTTACACCAAAATTCTGAATGTAAAACATATATAAAATACTTATAAATCTGCAACAGTATCACATTTTTAATATTTTGGAAAAACATATACATACTGATTCTCCATCAGGCATTCTCTGAAGTACCAGTTCAAATGAATCAGGATGATAATGGCACTTCTTTCCAACTTCTTCCATCAACTGAACAGCAGTTGTAGATGCTGGCAAGTTCAACAACACCTTTGAATTTTGCCACTGTACATAAAAAAGGTGCTTTCAGTTTCTTGCAAAATACAAGTACTACAATTAAGAATATTAAACTTTACATAGATTTGCATTTAGAATTTAACAAATACTAATCACTTGTGTGAGAAATGTTTGTTAATTTTGACTTGCAGAATACATTTAGCAACAATACTGAAATGATTCAAACACAGATGTACAAACCATAAATTACATACTATACATAACTAAAGAACTATAAAGAAAAATACCAATGAAAAATATACTGAACAAGATTTCCCTTTCAACAATTAAACTGCTGACAAGTTATAAAAAGCCATCAATAAGAACTTTTTCATCCTGCATAATATTTCCTAAGCAGCTGAATGGTACATGTCTACTTATTCATATACAAGTATGGCCATGTACACATGTTGCTCACTGATTCAACACTACATTACATATGCAAATGATCACTCAGAAAAGGAACAAAATTTTGCAACATCAAATGTTAATTAAAACCCAAAACAAAGGATTATAGTTTGTTAACTTTCTCATAATGCTATACTCAACATGTAATCAACATATTTAAGTCTCATTCACATAAATCATATGGAAAATCATTTATATCTCTCTTGCTGGACACTTCATCAAAATACTTACTGAATAACCTAGCTTAACTCTAGAGATCTAATTAACAAATGAGTTTACACATAAGTTCATGAAGCATTAACAGATGTCAAAAATAGAAAAAAAATCACTACAAACTATATCCCCTGTTACTGAACAAGATAAGCTTCAAAAAAGTGCATTATTCATAAAACACTGCCTACAGTAGATTACATAAACCAGCCATTTTTTCTGAATACATCATACAAACTCATAAAAACTGGTCATACAGATTTTTTGTGATGCAAAAATGATTAAAAAGCAAGTTCCCTAAAACAAGTAAAATTTTACTTTAACCCTCCACTCAAACATAAACTTATTTAATCTTATCTTCTTCCCTTTCCTCAAACTGTATACTTTCCTAAAATCTTGTCTGAAATCTCTTAAGAGAGAGATCTATATACTAATGTATGCAAATACTTACTTACAGTAATCTACAGAAAATCACCTCTCTCTTCCAACATACAAGTATTTTTTGATCTGATAAAGCTATCTAAATTATTATTATTACCTTAATAAATGATACACCTAAAAGAGAAATTATAAACAACCCTTCTACTATGTTCAAAACTTAGGTATATCAGTTATGTTTTTGGCCATATTGAACCAATGGAATTTCAAACAAACTAAAACAGCCTTGAAGTGAAAAAATATTCTTTTCTTTAATTAGCTCTCATTTTTTTTATGTTGAGTCTTATAAATTAATGTATACTCTCATTACAATAAATTCAAAGATATGTTTCATTGCATCATAACATTAAGAAAACCAGTATTAGGTCAAACAAATCAAAAACATAAGTTCTACTCCAACACACACACACAGATATATATAATACAGAACATGTTTTTTTTATATAGGAAGTATACATATATTCAACAAAGAACTTTGCCTCAGCAAAAAAAGCAAATTAAACAAATCAAAGAACATGAGCATTTATACAGTTGATATGTTACATATATATATATATATATAAAGACTGGAACTATAGGTTTAAATGTATTGCATAGTTATCTACTATATAGTACTCTAGAACAGGAGTACATTTCAAAATTATCTCCTAACTTGTGTATAAAAGTGTTTGAATAAAAAACTACCTGTACATAATCTACTTCCAGATTAGCTATGTACATACAGGAGTTAATATTGTTGCAAGATATTTCAAACAAATATGTATGTAAAACAGATTTAAGCATTTCTTATCATAATTTTATACATACATTCAGCTACTCCAATAAAATATTTTCACTGCATATAGTAATTCTCAGCTCATCAATTAGGAATAAATAAAAATCAATGATAACCAAACATTTACTATGTATCATGTGTTACAAAACAGTCAGTACATTAAAATTAACACATTATGGGACAATGTTGTACAAAAGAAATTAATGTACTGATGAACATAATACTAATATTGATAATTTAATAAAACATGAAACTTAACATTCTCCTTACCTGAAAATGTATTTTCAATAAATACTTACTTCTCTACACACAGTCACTATTCATCGTGCATTTGCCTTTGAGATTTTGTGCATATCTTGAGCTATCTCAAATCCGAGATATATTTTAACACGAACTGCACTTGTGAATGATGTAATCATCATTCAACAATAGCCATTCCCCAATAGGAGGGTGACACATCATCCATGAACAGTAGATCACCATAAGCACTTGGGCTTGAAATTAACTTCATTCTTAGACAAGGTAAGAAAAATGTGCAGAAAAGTAAGTACCTATCTGAAATACATTTTCAGTTAAGGTAAATTTGAACTTCAAAAACAATTTCCGTACCTCCCTTCACACAATATCTAGAATCCTGCACTGATATGGTGCAATTATTAAAATCTAAGTTAGCTACCTTCAGAGAAGGTAACTGAAAAAGAAAGCCCATGGAATGTGACACCCTATAGTGAGGTCTAACAAGAAGGGCAACTCTCATGGAAGACTGCAAAAATCTTATGTAGGTAAACTATTTTTCTCACACAGAAGTATGAAAGAAGAAAGTCAAAGACTGTTGCAGGGATGGGCAACCAATCGATCATATTCACACAACCAGTCTTGTTGGACATGAGGTGTAGCATGGCTAGTGCAATGGTCAGACCATACAATTTGGAATATGTTCTGTTGTATCATTTACTCACCATACATTACAAACATGTGGACACAGGTCCTTTCCTGTAGTAGTAGAACACTTTGCTGAAATGGCTAGCCAAACCTTGGGAAATTGTCACGTTATATAATAAAGGGTGACTTGCACTACACTGGCATGGACATCCTTACCATACTTTCCACTGCATTTCTGCTGCCATTTCGGACTTTCTCTTACAATCAGTAAGAAACTCTCAAAGTCGACCATCCCCACGATTAAGAACTGGAAAATGACAATGGTCTCCCGTGTTTTATTTGACAATCAGAGGAGAATAATTTGCACAGGAGAGATGCCCAGACCCAATCTAACCTCCAACAACAAAGGTCTTTTACTGGAGAAACTTCAACGGAGTACCACGAAACCTAATTAGTCTAGTTAGTCAAGGAACCAACTAGAAACAATGCTATTTTAGACTTATTGTTAACTTCAAATACAGAAATGATTGAAAAGGTGGAAATTGGGGAACATCTAGGGGCAAGTGATCAATGCTCTATTAGGTTCAATGTTTTGCTGCATACGGAGATAAGGAACAATGATATTTTGGTTACAAATTTCAAAAAAGCTGATTTTGGAGGGATGCAACAAGAGTTATCTGTTGTGAATTGGGCAGCTGAGTTATTTGGAGACACTGATCAGATGTGAAAAATTTTTTTAATATTGAATGTAAACATATTCCTAATAGATATAAGAGAATAGCTACAAATAAAAAAACAGGTTGGCTCACAAAGAGTTTAAGAAATAAAATTAAAGA